TAATCACCCTGTAACAATATTAGCCAAAATCCAAAATACAAAGATAGTTCAAATTACGTGATTGATTAGCAAATCATGCCGCTTATTATTAAATCCTATAGCATTAGTAATGAATTGAGTAGTGTTTCTATTCTCAGGATAAGCTTTATTTAGCGGCTAATTATTGAATAAGAAGTTAATACACCTGAAATCTATATTTCTGATTTAATCAATATTAACTCTAATTCAATTGTAAATGTTGAAAAGATTCTTCTTCATATAAAAATGATATCTGATATTAAGGATGAAAATCATAAGTGGGTTGCAGTAATCTGTAATGGTGTCTCATACCATCATGTTATCAAGTTAAAAGAAAAATTCCCTTGGTTGGTTTTTATACTAGAGCAATTACATAAGAAGATGAATATGCTTTAAGAATATATCGAGTTAAACTGATAAATTTGTTTTTTATTAAAATAGCATAAATTTTTTATTAATAAATTTTATTTTCTATATTAATAATTAGGAAAATAGACTTAAAGCAATTTGTCACATTTCCAATTCTTGAAGATTATTTGAGTTACAATATATCACAGACAGAATCCATGATTTATATACTTTTTAAATTACACAAGCATAGTAAAAGTGATCTACAAATTATCATCATGTGAATTGATCTACAAAATCAATGACACAATGATCTGCAAAATTGATCTGCAAAATTAACCAGATCAGTTAATGAAGAAATGAAGTAATAGATCATTAGCCTATGATGACACGCTTAACTTTCTAAACTAGAAACTCCAAATAGGAACTTCAAGGAGAAACTAGTCAGGCTAAATATAAAGATATAGTAATAATTTAAGAATAATATAATTATATTCTTTATATCTCTTCAAGTATATATATATTATAGTTATAGGACTATTACATAGCGATTAGGTAGTCATTACTCAATTATTACAACAGAATTACATAGAAAAAGATGAGAAATCATTACATAGTTTTTATGCAATAGATAGCAATTTAGTATAGAAATTTCATTATAAATAAGCTGAGTTTTTCATCATGTATTGATAAAAATTTAGAAAGTTAATTTTATAAGATAATAAAAACTCTTTGCTAAATTGTCTCATATCAAACAAAAATTGCTTTATGTTAAAACCTGCTTTGTGTTAACCCTTGGTTAAGTAATAATTGAATTACTTAACGTCATCAATCTTGCTTTATGTTATCAAGATTTAAGTAATATTTAAGTTACTTAAATGATATTTACTTGGTTACAAATAATACTTTGTAACATCAATTGTGAATTTCCTACGTCAAAGAAAATTGTTTGTCTTACGTACTGAATTGGAAGTCGTCATACTTGCAAATTATGAAACTTAACTGTGAAAGAATACCGAAGTTAACAATAGCCCGAATATACCGAAGTCTCTCCTAAAACTTAACAAAGATTGAGCTAAATCTTGCTGTTACTCAATTGATTATGTGTTTCAGTCTGCCTAATCATTAGTTGAGTAATAATATATCAAAATTTTAGATAATTTGAATTACTAGATATTGATATAAATTATTTTAAATACAGATATTAGTTAAAAATTTTAAATAAATATTATATTAATTTTCTTAATATCTAATAATTCAAATTATATAAAATTTTAATAATTGATAATAAATATAATATTTATAATATATCAAAATTTGAGCTAATTTAAATTACTTGTTATTAAGATTTTTGATATATACTGTATCTAATATGAATAATATATTAAAAGATTAGATATTAAGAAAATTAATATAATATTATTTAAAAAATAATATAAATTATTTTATATACAAATATTAGTTATTAATATTTCAATATCTTAGGGATGTTAAACGATCCTAAATGATTGTAAACAAATATTGAAATTATGAGTTATAGAAAAGTCTGATTGCTTATCTATAATAAATAATCCTTAATAAATAATTGTAATAATAAATTTTATGAATAACTTATAAAAGAAATATGAACTTTGGAATTGACAATTAATGTGGGATCGCCAAGGTAAGACCTGATCCTTAGGACTGGATCCTAAATTTCAAAAATTAAGATTCTGAATTTCCGAATAAGTTTTATATATAAATTTAATTTATATTCAATTAACAAATTATCATTAGAAACTGAAATATAATGCCAGTAAAATAAAATTTTTCTCTAGAACTGGCAAATTTATTGGGACTTTTAAGACTGTTTAGGACCGTTTAACATCCCTACAATATCTAATGATTTATATTATTTAAAATTGGATATATTATAATTTAAGATTTTATATAAGATATATTAAAATTTGATTTAATTATAATTTGTGAATATGATATCAAAAATAGCATTCAAAAACTTTTGATCATTTTTTGTATTTAAAATAATTTTTATTATTAACATCTATATCAATATCTTAATATTCTTAATATCTAGTAATTCTAATTATCTAAAATTTTGATATATTATAATTTGAGATTATATTTAATATATATTAAAATTTGGTTTAATTATAATTAGTAAATTAGAAGAAATACGATATTAAAAATGGCATTCAGATATCTGTGATTATTTCCTATAGTTTTATTTATAATAATTATTTTTTATTTTTATTTTATTTAATATATTTATTATTTTTATATTAAGTTTGCTATTTATTACTGGTGGTGAACATCACCAGTGTTACTCAACCAATAATAATTAAAGTTTTTTATTGCTTTACATAATTGATAATATTTAAGGTATAAAACAAAAATTTTTTAGCAATGAAAAATTCTAAGTCTCTAGAATACATAGTAAAAATAAAAAACTAAAAGGTATGATATAAGGTGATAAATAATACATAAAATATAAACATTTAAATATAAAGATCACAACTAGTAATATGAAGTAATTTTCTTTATTTTTTTACTATATATATTTACATGTTTATGTATCATATTAAAATTTCTATATAAGAATAATAATAATAATTTAAACTATATAAATAAGTATTTAAGAGTAGGATTTTTTATATATAATTGATAATAATTGATAACTGACTCAATGATCGAATTGTGTAATATTATAAAAATAGTAATAAATTAGTATCACCTAATCATAATTTATATTAGCCAATCATATGGGAAACGGTCAGTAGAAAAGGGAAAAATCCAAAATTTTTGTTAATTTTAATTATTAAGCTAATTTTGTGCATATGATTGAGATCAGCCAAGTGATCCAATAATATAAATTTTGATCAAAATTTGGATTTCCCCCTTTTCTACTATATGTGTAACCGTTGATCAAAAGACCCTACCCTTAAAGTTAAAAATAGTAAATTTGTATTAAAGCTAAAAATTACTATAATAATATTTTATTATGATTAACAAACTAAAATTTTAGATTATATCGATATGTAAAGATATAAATATTTTGTTGATATTTCTTTATTACCAGAGGATAAAGCTAATTTTGCAAATGTCAAAATTTATGTATCTATGACTTTAGGTATTTATATTTGCAAAGATTAAGAATATTATATAAAATTTTCCTTTAGATAAATTGTTACACTAATTGAAATTTTACTTCAAAGAATTGTTACACTAAATTTGTCAAAAAAAATTTTTTTTATATTGATATATAAATATTTTATTCTAATAATTATTTTACTCAAGTTTATAATCCTTTTGGAATGGAATTTTCAACAAGTACATGGGTCATTTTGACAATATTGGTAACAGCAATTATTTCAAGTACGCTATCCTATATAACTATTTAAGTTTTCTTTTCAAAATTTCATATTCAAATTATTGAATGCCACATATTATACCAAAAAGTTGCATTTAAAGTATTAAATGATCGGTCAAAGAAAAATACCTTCATTATATTAGGATTATCAGATTCTGGTAAAACTTCTTTATTCATCAAAGTATGTATCATTAAAAAAAAGAAAAAACAATTTTAAATAGCAAATTAACGCGACTTATATTTTCGGTTTGTTTAGTTAAGATATGGAGAACAAGTACAGACGCATACATCTATGAAAGAAAATGAAGGATATATCAAACTTGAAGATGATGTATGTAATAAAAAACGATTTCCTTATGATGAATCTATCTTCTTATTTACTTACATTATTATTTATTAAAAAAAATTAGGGTGACCCATTAACAAAAGTTCCAATACATTTTGTTGATGTACCAGGACACGAAAAATTACGATTTAGGTTTTCTGATTTTATACCAATTACACGTGGAATTATATTTATTATTGATAGCTCAACGTGTGTTAAAAATGTACGGTCAATTGCCGAGTAAGTAAATATAAATGTCGGTTTTTTTTTTTAAAAAAAAAAAAGAAAAGAAATCACTAATAAATTTATGTTAGGTATCTTTATGATATATTTTCAAACAAGGATGTTATAAAACATCATATACCAACCTTAATCGCTTGTAATAAAAGCGATATGATTACAGCTTTACCACCTGAACGAATTCAAACTATATTGGAAAATGAACTGTATGTAACCTGAAAATATTTTTATAATTAAATATTTTTACATAATACATATTCTATTTATGTTTCAGAAACCAACTTCGAAATACGCGAACTTCAGCTTTGGATCATCAGGATACTTCTATAACAGATAATGTAGAATTTTTAGGTTATGAAAATGAAATTTTTAAATTTGAACATTTAGAAAATGAGATTCGTATTGAAAAATGTTCTGTTGACAAAAATGAATTTAAGGGAATTAAAACTTGGGTTGCCGAGGTTTATGAAGGACGATAATATAGATTATTTACTTTGGCGTAAAATTGTAATGTTAAGAGACTTTTAATAACACTGAATAACATTTAACATTTCTATAATATAATATAATATAATAATATTATAATTAAATTTCCAAAACTTGTAAAATGAAACACACCTACATTATCAACAAATTATTAATCTTAATAAATGTATAGAATAAACGCGAAAATGAAATTTCACTATTAAAAACTTACTAAGATTATGCCAATGGAATTTCATCGTCCATGGTTTCATCCGGATTATTTATAAAATCTTCGAACATCTGGGATGAATCTCCTCCAAAATTGGTATTAATAGTCATGTTCGGATCACCGGTATAATTCGAATTATCTCCGATATTTGTATCTCCAGTAAGGCCACCGAGTTGAAGATTTGGTTCATTTGCTAAACCAGGTATATTAGCAGGACTAAAATACCTTTGCAAATCATTCTCATGTAATCCGGAAGTGTCTATTCCCCCCATTCCTTCAATCCCTTGAATATCTTTCAATCCTTCAAATGCTTCAATTTCTTCGATTCCCGAAGTATTGTGTGTATTTACTAAATCTCCATAAGATGAAAGTTCTTGATCAAGTTCAACTAACCCTCTATGTTCGGGATTCCTTTCTATTAACAATTCTCCACCTATTACATCATCTTGCATCATGTCATTTGGACCCTCATCTTCCACATCGGATTCTGGTCCATTATGAATGTGTATTAATGTAATCGGATTACAAGGTTGGATTACAATATCTAATTCTTTCTCGGTTCGTTCTTGTAACTTCAATAATTCCTTTTTTATATATATGTATAAATACGTTAATATTAATATTATGAGAAATATAAAATGTGCAATTTACTATATTACCTCCATAGTGTTACATTTGCTAAGATCGTTCATACTTTTCGATAGAATATTAGAATGTCGTTTGAATTCCTCGACCTTTTTTGAATGTTCAGTCTTCAACTTTTCGATATCTTCTTGATGTGCAGTCTAACGGTATATCAATAAGTAATCATGGAAAGGATTATCAAGTTTATAAAATAATCTAAATTGAATATAACAAACCAACTGTTGTTTTAGTTCATCAACATTCTGCTCTTGATAAATTGAAGTAGGTGGAATTATGGAACCTAACAAAATTTTTTATTTATTTTTAGAATATGTTCTAGCATATTATATAAAGTAAATTAATAAATAATAACTTACTAACGCTATACGCGGAAAAAACCTCGGAGATATAATCGTGATTCCTTCTAAATCTTGACATTGCAACTTCTTTAAATTTCAAATTGTCAAGTTCGTCTAATGATAACAAGGAAAATGTTAATGACATCACAAATAAAATTCAAAGAAAAAAAAGGATAAATTTATTAATTGTACCTCCTGAGGGCTCTTCAATTTCTTCGGCAACAGCTGCGACTGAGGCGATAGAAGCTTTATTCTAATTGTTAATTTAAATGAAATTTATCATAAGAATTTTAAATTTAGGAATAAATTAAATAATAATTGCCCTTCTATACCTTAGCACCTTTCGTGCGTCTTCCTACTGATTTTGTTGGATTTTGCATTACCATTCCTGGCGGTATTCCACGTTGATTATTACTTCCTGTAATGCGAGATTGAAATTGATAAGCATTACCCATTGGTGTGAGAGTACCTGTAGGACCACGCGCCATAGCAGCAGGTGATGTGTTATGAATCGATGAAGGACCAGGTGATTGAATTGCCATAGGTGATATAGAGTTCGATGGTCGTCCATAAGGATTCATGCCCGCTTGCATAGGTGGCATAGGATATCTGCCTGGTGTTGGATGTCTTGTAAATGGTTGAACCATTTGCCGCTCTATACGCATTATATAATTTTCCTTAGAATATTGAATACCCTATAAAAAATAGGTTTGCACACTCAAACTCATAGCATCCAAAGATAACTAAGTTTAAAAAAAATGATTATAAATTAACTTACGACGTTCGTCAAGTGAAGCATAATGTAATAATTGAAGTTCTTGGTGATCATTTGCGAATCGATACCTCCTCCTAACTTTGCTTGTTACTTGATCACCTGGCGCGAAACCTTGTGACCTTTCCATACAAAGCAATTCCTTTTCAAAAAGATTAGAAATCATAAATGATATATAATTAATCCTTAGAATGCCAAAAAGAATGCAAGCTTACCCTTCCATCCGGCAACATTGTTTTAGATGTTCGTTCATTATCCAAATAATAATAACTTTTCATTAAGAATAAAAATTGAAAGTTAAATCATTAATACAGATTAAATTTAAAAAAATAAAATCAACGTATTCTATCAAATAAGTGAAAACATACTTTTGGTACATACCCATCTGATGGAATGTCCACCGCGTTTGGAGATAGAGATATGAGGTATATCTGTCCCTCTGAATGAAATAAAATAAGTACAGCATATCTAAAAAGTGGGGATTGTTTTTATTTTAGATATAAAACGTACAAATACCTTGTGGTTTGTCAATAATTGAGAATGTGAACGTAAGCTTTGTCATTAAAGTCGTTGTTGCCTTGCTAAGTATGTCCGCAACATAAGTAGGTGATACTTCTGATTGTCGCTGATACGTTATATTAGCTAAACGAAAAAGATCTTTAGAAGAAGGGCTATTATAGGACATCCCTTGTAATGGTTGTTGTAATCCTCCTGGTATTGAACTTGTCATTTTGGATAATTATAACGCGTTTATAATAACGATAAGGGTAATTAATCTACAAATAGTTTTCTTCAGCTAGATCATTAGATCTAACCTAACTCGGTAAATCATCAAATATGTAATCATATGACTTTAAAACAGTTTTTTTTTGATATTTTAAAAAAAACTATATACAGTCGGCCCTTTATATTACCCTATACTTGAGGTCATATAAATATCGGTATAAAAAAAATTCTATATGTCCCGACATATCGTTATATAGAGGTTTGACTACTCATATGTTTTGAATGAATATATATAATATAATTTTTTTCTTATAAATGTATTAGAAACAAATAAAAAATACAAATATTTTTATTATTTAATTATTTAAATTATGATAAATTTTAAAACAATTATTTCTAATTCTAATATTATTATAATATAAGAAATATAAATAAAGATACATTGTAAATATTACATTTTATTTGTAATATTTTAAAGATTATTGTTTTGATTAATATTATATATGTTTTTCTTTTTTTTTATCATTTGGAAAAATAATTACATATTAGTAATTATTTATAATAATTTATAATTAGTTATATATAATTTTATAAGTTATTATAATTGTATAGATTAATTACATGATTTCTTTTTTTTTCTAATTCTCTAATTCTATTCCAATTTAATTAATTTTATATGTACTAAAAATTTGTTATACTGAACTTGAGTTCAAAAAACTGATTTTTTATACTAAATATAATAAATTTTATAATAAAATCTTATATAGTTTCTAGTAAAAAAAAAATCATGAAAATAATATGTACAAACTTTATTTTTTTTGTAATTTTTTATTTATTTATAAGACAAATATTAATAGCAAATTTTTTATTATTTAATTAATAATTGATATGTTCTTCTTTTATATTAATATATACTTTAATCTGATTTAACATGCTCTCAATACATTAAAATAATATAATATCATCAAGATTATCCCATTTTATATTCATTGATTATCCAAGATTTTATAATACAAATGATAATTCAAATTTTTAGTAAACAAATAAATGCCAATTTTTTCTTTAACATTCAAACATAAATCTTAAATAGATGCTTTATAGGGTAAATAATTACACATTATGAAATCATACATACATAGTATTTCTAGACATCTGAAATGTTATTTTATTAAAAAAATACTTTCTTTTGGTTGTAATATAAATGATTATGTGACTAAAACAATTGAAAAATCTTTATTATTTGAGTTAAAAGAAGAATCTTTTTTAGAAGTATAGAAATATAATAAAGATTTTGAACTTATAATATATCATATATTTATTAATATTAAGGTTAATCTTATTTTCTTTTAATTTGACTTTAAGTTTACTTGTTATAGTAAAATGATTTTGTTACAGAATTTTTCTAATATTATAGTTTGATTTAATGCTAATTTTCTTAGATAACTAGAAGAATAATAGATTGAAATATTATCAGTTTTATTTAACAAACTAATTTATCATTTATATGTATACAAAGAAATACATAATCATTTAGAAATTTACTTGTATTATATATTTTTTGATTCTAAACTAATTTAATAGAGTTTCATTGTATTTCTAAAGAGCTTATCATAGTTTCAAAAATAAAAATAAAATTAAAAATAAATATCAATTCTTATTTTTTAATTTACTGTTAAATTAGGATTTTAATATCTGATTTGACATATAGGATCTTTGCAATAAAAAGGAAAAAAACTGCAGGAAAAATCAAAAATGAATTAATGTTAAATTTGAACATATTTCAGCTTAAAAATCATATTTAGTATATAAAAGTAAAATTAATTTTTCCTAATAGTTTCTCCCCTTTCTACTATTTATTATAAGGGCATCATATGGGAGCGTTTCCAGTAAAATCACATTATAGATCATATGATTTACTATGCCTCATACCTTGATTTTACTGGAAACGTTCCCATATAATAAATGCTTAAATCTAAAAAATAATAAATCTGCAACTTAAAAATAAATGTGAATTTTATTTCTATTTTTTTATCAGAAATCATATAATGCATCTGAACTAATGATTGTAAAAATTTTCAATTTAAAATAAATTTATTTTGATTTATTTTAGTTTCCATAATTTTGACTAGAATTAACAATTAGATATATAATTTTAACTGAAATTAAAATAAAATTCTAATAGATGAAATATTTAATTAAAGATAGTTTCCATAATAATTTTTAAATTTCAATTGAATTACAACTTAATTGTGCTATAAGAAAATTTAATTGCATCACAAGTTGCAATTCAATTACGCTATTTTTTTTAATTATAACACCTATTTTTAGTTTTATTATATGTAATCATAAAATTAACAAAATTAATTACATGCAATTGAAATATAAAGTATTAAGCATTTAAAGGAAATTTTGATTCAGAATTTTTCTATTCTCAATTCTCACTAAAGATACTTGCTTAAACTCTTTTTTGAAAATTGTAGTTTCATCAAAAGGTTGTCTCTTTAATATTTTTATATGAATAAATATAAAATTATTATATTTTTTAATATATTTTAATTCAAGAAATTTAGATCAAGTTAAATATAATTTCAACAATTAAGTAAAATAAAGAAAAGTAATTTTATCAGGTATCACTAATTCTCACCCAAAATATTATTATAAATATAAAAACTGCATTCTATACTACAAAAAGAAATAGTTATTCAAATATAAATTTAAAGCAATTTGACTTAAAAGAAGTAGATAATTATATAAAACATTTTGCTAAAAATTTTCTAAGTTTAAATATTTAATTAATGCCAAATCAAAGTTGCAATATATGGTCTATTTCTGAATGAGATTACATAAAGAATTTATAAATTCAACTATTAAATTATTATAAAAAAGAATATTTTGTGTTAAGATAAGAATTACAAATTTTGAATCAAATATTCAAGTTACTTTAAAAAGTGCATAACATAAGTGATTTGAAATATGTTTTCTATATTTTTTAGAAACTACATCATAAGCAGATTTGAATATTAACTGAAATAATCTATATGTAAAATTAAGGTTTTAAATAGTAATAATTAAAGATTCACCAAAATTTTCTGTTACTATTATTACTCTATTATTAATATAAGTAGGGTTTTGCAATTCGATTGGATCAAATTCAAATCAAAAAATGATTTATTTAATCAAATCCAAATTAATGTTTGATTCGATTCGATCAAATTCAAATCAAATATTCAAATATTTGATTTGATTTGAATCAATAATAAAGCTATTTCCAAAGCTTAGAGATTGGCTCTTATTAAGAAAACTATAGTAAAAAGCGCATCTGCAGCTTTGAAAATGTTTTTTTACTAAGAAAACTATAGTAAAAAACGCCTTCGCTAAGAAAACATAATAAAAAATGCCTCTGTAGTAGTGATTTCTGACTAAACTGTTTTTTGATAAATTGTAATTTCGTCAAAAGTTTTATCTCTTTAATATTTTTATATGAATAAATATAAAATTATTATATTTTTTAATGTATTTTTAATTTAAGGAATTTAGAATAAGTTAAATATAATTTCGGTAATTAAATAAAATAATTTCGTCATTAATAAAAAACTAGTTTTGTCATTTCAGTTTCGTCAATTAAGAAAGGTAATTTCATTAGGTATCACTACTCCGCAACTTCAGAGATGCTATTTTATTAAGAAAATATAGTAAAAAACGCATCTGTGGCTTCAGAGACATTTTTTACTAAGAAACCTAGTAAAAATACACATTTACAGCTTCAGAAACATTTTTTTACTAATAAAATTGTTATAAAGCTGAGATGATGGTTATTACTAAGTTATCTTAGTAAAACCAATGCTATGATAATGGTCATTACTAATTATTTTAGAAAACCTAAAGCTGCGATAGTGATTATTACTAAGTTTTCTTAGTAAAACTGAAGTCACAATGGTGGTTATTACTAAGTTTCTTAGTAAATCAAAATCGCAATTACTAAGTTTTCTTAGTAAAACTGAAACTGCAGAGTTATTTTACTTAATTTAATAGTAAAACTTCACCTGTTACTAAACTTACTTTGCAAAAGTTATCTTTGAAATTTTTTAATGCAATTACTAATAATTTTCTTAATTAAAATTTTAGAATAATTTTATTTTAATATATCATTGTAAAATTAAAAAAATTTTATATTTGATTTGATTTGATTTGATCAATTCAATTCGATTCGATTTAATCAAATATTTGATTTGATTCAATTTGAAAAAATCAAATTAAATTCAAATTGCTTAAATATTTGATTTGATTCAATTTTGAGGAATCTTATTTATTATATTGTATATAATTTAGCATTATATTAATTAGGTTTGGTTTATTATAAAAAATTTATATTACAAAATAAAAGTTAACGAATATGGAATTTACACTTTATCAGATTTATAGTTAAATATTCAATAATATTTGAATGATTAAAAATTTTATATTTTACTAATACAAATTGATAAAGAATATTATATATTATAATAATACTGTCATAATTATCAGAAAAAAATTCATTTTTCTATAGTTCAATATTACAAGATTTTTCATCATTATCAATACTAAAATAATATTGAATTTTATATATTTTCGTTAGCTTATATCACTGAATAAATGCTAAATTAAGTTCTGCTGGTCTATTCTCAAAATCGATTATATGATTAAAAAAAATACTGGACTTAACTAGCATAATAGTCAATCTAATTATTATTAATGTGTAATTCTTGTGAATTACAACTGTTAGACAAAGTATTAGAGTGTTATTTCTTTTTAATTGCACAGTAATCTTAAAGCTTTTACAAGTTTATTATTACGACTAAATTCAGACAAAGGTTTCAGATAAAGGTTTTTACAAGTATTTCACAATCAATAGTTCACAAGGTATTAAGTAATTATATTTTCAAGTAAGATGTTTATTGATAAGATAAGAAATAGAAATAAAGAAAATAAAAGATATGACAAG